AGGAGTGACTACTTGCGTGATACTCCTTGAACCAGAGGAGAGGCTCATGGTAAGACCTGCTTCAGTGTGTGGTAGGATGCCAGCTGCACAAAACAGGGAGTTTACTGACTAAGGGTGATGCAGTACTGCTGAGACCAGTACTGAAGGTGTCAGCGCCAGTGAGATAGAGACACAGCAGTCTCAAGATTAAGGCAGTTAATGTCTGCCTGAAAAACAAGATTCTAACAGTGAGATGACGAAAATGTTACTTAAGCTGAATTTTTCATAGGTGGCTGATGGCTGTGTGTACTTTGGTTTTAGTGCCTGTCCCAGAAGCCTGATACACTGAAATGCCTTGCACTCACCGCTGCAGTCAGTCGCAGCACTTTGAGCGCACCAGGTGCTGCAGAACACATGCTGAAACACTGTGGGCGATCCTAGGAACATCACACTTCCGCCTAATACCTGCCACAGCTCATTGTCTGTTAAAGGCTACCACATACTGAGCAGCTAGAAACAGCAGACCATGAAACAGGCATTTGTTAGGCAAGTAACGTAGACCTAATGCAATGAACTAATCAAGGGTCCTGGGACTTTATTTTTCCTTTTCTTACCTCAAACCAATCAAACGAGCTAACCAAGCTTCTCACACCACGCAGCACAGAGATCTGGGCCTTAGACAGAATAGCTGGCCCCTGCAGCACTGCTATGTGGTAGGTAAGCCCACCCCTTCAACGTCGTTTCTGAGATTGCTGCACAGCATCAACTCTGATTACCTGGCTGCTACTGTGAAACAGTCATCTGAAAACAAACAGGTTACCAAATTCATCCGTAGAGTGAGCTAGCACAAGAAGTTATAGCTTCACTGAAATCAGCGGGTTTCCTCTTGCTTTTGTCCGTATTAAGTTTGGTCTATTTTCTCAATTTCAGGACTGTTAAGACAGAAGCAATGAGTCATCAGTCCTGCTAAATTCAATTGCTATGTGTGAGACACATATGCAAGAACAGTAACTAGGTAAAAAAGCGCCCCATATATAAGCATGCTAGTATGAGAGCAAACTATTACTAAGGGGAATTTTGTGTTATTATTCTGCAGAATACTTCTATTTTGGAAATGAAACCTGTTACAAGTAGCTCATGACAGAAATACTGTCACAGTTCTCCAGTGTGACAGTAAGAGATGCTGGTTTTTTTCCTTTACAGCTAAAACAGTGTCATGGACTATCTCACAACCACGCTGCTTCTCCCCTGGTTTTACATAGAGCAGTAAGCACCATCACAGCTTTGTATACACTTTATTCCTGAGAAATACACTGCAAGGATCTTTGTGAGTAACAGAGATTAAGCAGCAAGGCAGTCTTTCAGAAAATAAGCTGATATATACTGTAATGAGACAGGAAAAAAAGAACTGCAGGTTTCAGAGGAAAAATGCTCTAATATTAGAAAAAGGACTATTGTAATTAAGATATACCAAGTAAAGTACTAGGAAAGAAAAGAGGAATATAAAATTCTCTTCACACTCATGAAAAGCAGATTCAGCCCAAAACAGTTTGACTTTTTGGGGCTGAACCCCATAACTGATGTTATCTATACGTTAAATACTGCTGCAAGTGTACAGTTCACTATGTCAACTAAAACCCATCTTCTCTCCCTTTTGAAAATGTCACCCTGCTACTGCTAAATTCCATGTCAGTGCTGCCTTCCTCTGTCATCACAACAGCCAACAGCTTGCCCGTTGCTAAGGCCATTACGCTCACACTGGCATTTTTCAGCCTTTGCTTTAGGCTTTGGTTATGACAAATACCAAAACTGCAGAGAGAGAACAAGAGTCCCATTCATACTTATGGTTTTCTGGTTAGCTTTCATATATATATAGCCCTAAAAAGGGCCATTCCTCTGCAGTTTGGTTGCTTGTCTGCTCCGCACTTCACGCAAACGACGCTCTCGGCGTGGTGTTTTCCATGGAGGGCTGAAAGGCCACCGGAGGGATGACAAACCCAGACACCGACGGCACCAAGGGACACGCGAACATCTGGCACCAGCCTTTATCTGAAGAGGCCGCCTTGGCTAAGGGCCGCTGCCTCACGGCCCCCTGAACTAAGCCAGAAGGCCCAACGGGCGACCCCTAACAGCAGGCTCACGGCGGGGCCCCGAACCCCTCGGCTGTTTTCGTGGATGCCCAGAAAGGGGCTAAAACGAGGGGAAAGAAAACACCCGGCTCACTCAAACACAACAAAAAGCCCCACGCAAAGGCCCACTGAGGGCTCACAGCCAGCCTGGCCCCTGAGGGCGCCGCCGGCCCCGCCCCTCACCCCCTCACC